TCGTATAAAATTCGTACTTATTTAAATTTACGTAGAAATTATAATTTTATAACTATTAAAGGACTTCTTTAATATAATTAATGTAATTTTCTTTATTTTTACTATAAATTAAAATATTATTAAAGTAAATAATATATATAGTATTTATTAACCCCGCTAATATATTATTAATATATATTTAAAATATTATTAATATATTTACTAATCCTATTAATATAATTAAGAATTTATAATACTTATACTTCGTATAAAACACTGTCTTTTCTTCGTCTCCTTCTTAAATCCGAATTTTATAGTATATATCCTTTAAATTTAATTTTATAAAAACTTTAATTAATAATAACCAATTTAGAATCTTTTAAATAAAAGGTAATACTGTCCGATTTTTTTTCATAACCTTATTCAACGCCCTAAAATCAATATAGAACCTTAACTTTCTACCCTTCTTTAGAATAAAAATAATAGGAATGCCCGTTAAGTTAATAGAAGGACGAATCTATCCCTTTTAGAATACTTCCGCTAACTATTTATATAATATTTCTAATTCCTTAATATTTAATATATAAATTAGTCCTTAAAATGCTAATTCCCCTTTAATTAAATTAATATAATACTTTAACTAATTATATTAAAGTAAAAATATAATAGAGGTTTCAAATACCGACCGGAACTCTTTATACTCTAGTAGAATAATCGGTTTAGGGATAGCGGACTCGCCTTCTATTTCCTTTAGTAACTCTAGGAATTATAATAGTATTAGCTCCGTAGGGGGTATTAGAATAAAGTAAATACTATTAAATACTATTCGAAAAATTTTTATTAGGGGAATAAAGATTAGAGGCAATTCGGCTAATTCTATTATAACGAATAAAATTATAAACTCTAATACTAAGGAAGAAGGGATTTCGAATAGGATATTTATATATATAGGAAGGCAGAAACCCTCCTTTACCCTTACTATTTCCTAAAGGTCTAATAATAAAATTAAATCCTACTATAGCCCCGCTAAAATAGTTATAATATTATATATTTCCTTCACTAATACTATATTCAATACAAAATTGCCAACCTTAATACAAAATTAAAATAACCATTACTACTAATTAATATCAAAATTTTACTTATAAAACCAAAAGTAACCGAAAATAACTTCTATAACTAGGGATTCAATTATAGTAAACGTAATTTACTTTATTTACTTAATACTATAAGAATTATATATTTTAATAAAATAAATAATTATACTATATATAAAAATAGGCCGAAGGGAGAAATTAATAAGACAATAGGGTACTAAATTAATTTTTATATTCAATAGGAATAAATACTTATTAATCAAATTTAACTCCGCACTCAAATCTATTAACCCTTATATACTCTACCAATCTCTATAAATCCTTACTAATAACTTCGTCTTTAAATATATTTATAATCTACTTATATTATCCTAAGTAATTATAATTACTACTTTAACTATAATTAATTTAATATTCGCTCTATATAAGGAGGTACTTATAGGGATAGGACAATTCCATATTAAATAACCAATTTAATTACAATTATAATAAATTCAATTTAAGTATACTACTATAAAATAACTTATTATACTATATTCGTAGCAAATATTCAATAATTTCAATTAAGTATACCAGCTATATATATAGCTTTTCTAATAATAAAGGGAATAAATAAAATTAGGATTTATTTAAAAAACGGTAGGGGGGTAATAGGGAAAATCGGAGGGGTTATTACTATAAAACAACTATAAAAGGATATTCGAAAAGGAGGTAGGAGGGTATAAAGACGAAGAAAACGATAGATTATACCCTAAAAATACTTAATATTAACAATATAATACAAACGGTTCAATACTCTCTAAACCTTCCAACTATTCTATATATACTACTACTTTATTTATTATATTAATACCAACTATTAAAAGAACACTTTATTAAAAAAGGGGGCGCAATCGGTTAACCTAAATAACGACCTAAATATATTCTAATTAATTATATAATAAATTAAATTCTTTAATATAATAGTAATTATAAAAGGTATAAATAGTCTCCGAAACGCCTTACTATATATATTCGAATTTATTAAGAGCAGATTATTTAATAGTCTAAGTATTATTATTATATTCAATCTCTAAGAAAATACGGAAGTCGCTCTATATAAATATATTATAAATAATATTATACCTAAGTTTACTATAGAGAACTAATATATATTTAATTTATATATTTTTAAAATTACCTTTAATATAATTAACGGTAAACGAAAGGGAAATATAGGAGTATTCTTAAAAATATATATCGATATTATAAAAATAGTTCTGTAATTATAAGAAATTTTCGTTAGTAAATTTAGTAATATTATATTTAAAACGGTACTTAATATAGGCTAATATAGCCGCAGTTAGTAAAAGGGTAATTATAGTAATAACTACTAATAAGGAGATAGTAAGGGGAAATATAATAAAAATACAAATCTAATTATAAAAAAAATAATTTTAATAGTAAAACCCAGTAAGGATAAAAGGGTAATTTCCTACTAAATTTTATTTAATAAGGCCTACAAATATAAATTACTCTTATTAAAATATATATAAAAAAAAGTAATTAAAAAAGAATTTAATTATAGTAAATTAAAATTCGAATAATTACTATTTATATACAAACTCATTAATTTCCGAAGTTTAGGGGTACGAATAGAGAGCCCGGGGCGGTATAAAAAAATAATCTTTATTATTATTTTCTTCAACAGATTCTATAATAAATTAATATTATTATAATAAGGGCGGAGGGGGTTAGATTATTTTAATTATAGTAATTATAAAGGTAATAGTACGAAAAGAATGAAGAATAGCTTTAGTAGTACGAAAAATAGATTGGCTGCTATATATATATATTTTAATAGTATCAGTTCAATTCCCGGAGGAAGAGCTATTAATTTATTAAGAACGTAGGTAAAAAGTAAGTTAAAGTAACTATAGTTGTAGCCACACATAGGGGACGGCAAATTAAGGGTCAATCCAAAAATATATTAATAATTACCGATTATAATAAAATACACTCCGTTAAACCTCTTTTATACCTATATAAACTCTATTTATCCGCTAACGAACATTATAGAACCTTATACTAATTTAACGCTTCGGCGCAGTGCCGGATTATCCTTCCCGCAAGCCCGACCCGATATAGGCGTTATCGTAAATAATCCTACGCTTCCATTAACGAAGGGGAGTAGCAGCCGCTGAGGTGCTTCTGTACACGAGCTCTTAGCCTCCTAACATAGGGTAAGTAATTTTTATAATATTATAAAGAAAAATAACCTTAAAATCCTTATTAATTTTAAATTTAGTATTTTTAATACGTTTGCGGAGTAAAGTATAATAAATAAAAAAAGAAGTTATAGTATTAAAGTTAGTATACTTAATAATTAAATATTCGGCGAGGATTTCGCTACGAGTTTCGTTAGTAATACGGGCGATATAAGACTAAATGAAATTATACGTAACCTTAGGGTTTCTACTAGTTCTATCCTATTTATTAACGGTTAAAATTGTAATAACGGCGGGGGTTTTAAGAATAGAAAGAAGAATCTTATTAGCGTTAGTACGTTTAGTTTATTAAATATTATACTTTTCGGGGTCTATTACTTTATTGGGTTCTAGGACTATTTCGAAAATATATTTAGCGAGTTGAAAGTAATTAAATTCGGTTATAAATCCCTAATACTAATTAGCGATATTTTAATTACCGAAAAGGGGAACTAGTAACGAATTGGTAATTATAATTAGTATAAGAGGGTTCGATATGTTGGCGACGGTCGAACTATTGTCGATTATATTACTTATTTGAAAAAGAAGAAGGGGAGTGGTTGTTACTAAATTAGTTACTAATTAATTTAATTGAATTATTTAATTCAATAATAAATAAACCGATAACTAATTCGATAGGGTCGTTGTATAATAAGTATTAGTGAGAATCTTTATATAGCAAGGCTAGCTTATAAGTAAGCGGGCGAATCGTTAAATCGACGAAGGTCGCGGTTGCTTCTTTTAATCCGGTGCTACAGCGCTTTATTAAAATTAAAGCCGACAATACGCTTTAAGGATACGCTCGTTAAAATACGATTATAGGGAAGGTTAGAGAGGGCTTATAACCTGTAAGATTACCAACGAGATTAAGCGGTTGAATGCAATTGATTGAGTGTGTGCTATGGAGAGAGAGAGAGAGACTGGCAGAGTCTGGAAGGCTAGATATGGTGCGGTCTGGGCAGGGCACAGAGTGGGGTTTGGGCCTAGTGAATGCTAGAGACCCACTAATAAGTATACTACTAGTTCCATTTGGTTGATTTTTTTCTTTTAGGCGGTTTATAGGGTAAAGGCGTCGTACGAGTGCGCTGAGACCCTTAGAGCTTACAGGGCATTACAGGGTGCAGACTGCGAGTATACGGCATGTACGGCGTTTTGGGGCTGGTCTGCATTTTGGTGGTTTTGTACGGCGATGCTAAAATTGTACGGTTTTCTAGCTATATATAACCCTAACCCGATTAAGGGGGTCGCAAATTGGATTTCTATACGGCAACCGACCAAATGATTACTATTTTGTACGGTTATCATATAGAAATGGCCGTATAAGGCCATTTATACTGCAACCGTACCAAAACAAATGCAGCCTTAGGTTACCTAAGTGGTTTTTTACTACTTAAACGGATTTACTTTGTAAGAGGAATCACAAAAGGGTAAGAAGATATTCTGATTTTAAACTTGCTCTCACACTCAATGCTTGCTTAGCAACGATTGCTGAGATATCAAGTCGGTATTGCACGTGATGACGAATTTATATTGCACTTGGTAGTTCCTGCGCTGGCTGGAAAGTCTGAAGAGCCCTTATGTGGGAACCGGCCTGCGTTGCAGATGCCATGACCTCACATGTCGGATCAGAGCAGGAGTGATGATCTTCCGCATCATTGAATGTATTGTTCTTTTAGCTCCCTGCGACCTTGGGAAGGTCAGAAGTAGATAGATACCTACCTATATAGCCACTCTTTCGAGGCTCGGTAGTTGACAGCAATTCAGCAGCGAGTAGAAGCCTCGTGGTGTAGTGGTAACACACGCTTCATTTCAAGGTTCATTATGCAGTGAGTGACTGCTTTTTGAGACAGGCTGACGCCTTCGATGATCACTGCTGTAGCATGGTGCTTTGTCCCAGCGTTTGGCCAATCAACTCTTCATGAGCGCTCGAATTACCTGATGAAGTCGCATGGAATCGCGGAGTGTCTTCGACCTGCTCTGTTGATGACTGTTCATTGTCTTTTTATCTTACCTATATGAACCTCCTCGAAAATTCCACAAGAGCCATAATTGCCATAGCCTGACCATACGGCATACAGGTAATCGGGATATCCTTATAATGCTGTAAATCCCTTCCCATGCCCGTCCCAAACGAGGTACCTAGTAGCCCCCCCTTGTCGCTAATATTGTCTAGAACCCCCTTTAGTGCGTGAACCGCCACGTCCTCGTACTCCTTGCCGACGATGTACTTCTTCCTCAGCGCCTTCATGATCCCAAACGCGAACCCGGCCGTGGCACTGGTCTCGAGATACGACCCTTCGCTCTCCGGCACGTCCAGTAGCGTCCGCCACAGCCCGGACTTGGTTTGGAGAGACTTGAGTGCTTCACACTGCGCCTCAAGTGTGCTCCGCAGTATGTACCCGATGGGGTCCTGCGGCCCGAGGTCCAGCAGCTCGATGAACTCGGGGATGAAGATGGTCAGCCAGCTGTTTCCGCGGGCCCAGCGGGCGTTGGCAAAGTTGTGCCCGCCACCCTTGTCGTTGAACTCCCAACCGTGGAAGAACAGGCCGGACTTAGCATCAAACAAATACTGGATGTGCAAGAGGGACTGGCGCTTGGCCTCCTCGACGTAATGGGGGCGGTTGAGCACCAGCCCAATCTTGGCCAGCGGCATCACCGTCATCATGAGCGTGTCGTCCCACAGCTGCTGGTCATTGACTTCTACGTAGGTAATGTGCTGCATGCCACCATGCTTGGTGCGCTCGAGGTCGTGGTAGGCCCACTCGGCCCAACTGTCGAGCCACGGCAGGTAGGTATGGTTACCGGTACGCTCGTAAACGTAGGCCAGCGTGAGGAAGACGGCCATGGTGTTGATGTTCTTGGTGGTGCCACCGGCGGCGAACCGGTCGGCGAACCAGTCTTCGATGATTTGCAGGCATTCAGGGTCGCCCTTGAGCTCGTAGTATTGCCAGATGCCGTAGAGACCGATGCCGTGTGTCCATTCCCAGTCGTTCCACCCCTTCGTGTCGATTACGCGGCCATCGTCGAGAGTCAATAGGAACTTGCCTGTCTCATCTTTAATGTTGACCAGGGCGTCGATTAACAATCTGATATTGGAGTCGATGTCCGCAGACTTGACTCCGTTGAGCTCTGCTGGCATCTTGACCGATTTTGAAGTATGTGATCCCTATACCAGTTGATATGTGCTGACGACGTCGTGTCAGTGTCTTGCTTGAATAGGGGACGGTGGACTTGTGGTGGTGAGGAAGATATTTGGGCTTCCAGATCAACTGGCATATTCTTGAAGCAAACCACCCAAAAACCCAATGTTACGCGAGCGGCCCGTTCGCTTTTTGGCTCAAGACCCTTCCTGCTTGGTGGATAATCTCCATAGCGATGATGTCTCGCCGTCGGATATCATGGCAGAGAGTTGCACTGAGAGGGATGGGGAGCTCGGTGGAAATCACCCCGAGACCACCACAAGTGAGCAGCATTGGCAGGGGCTTCATGGCGTGCGGGGAAGACTGGAGGAAATCGCCTGGCTGTTTGCGGGGAAAGGCGCTTAGTTGTGCTGTCCGGGGCACACCGGGCCGACAGTCGGTTGAAGGCCACTTTCCATACCGTAGGTAGAAGTGTCTCGTGGTCTTTTGTGTTGAGGAGTGATACCTATCATGGCTGACACACTTTCCATCAGAAGTCGAGGGCGGTGAGGCAAATTGGTGAAGTGAAGAACGGTCAGACCTCCAGGGACTTCCCGTACATTCATCCTAAAGGGCGTCTTGGGGAACAAGTTGTGACCCTCATACAGCCCATTGAGTTACAAAGAGCCCCAATATTCAAGAAGATAACCGTTGTTAGAGCAACGTTGTAGTGGTAAGACCGCTGCTACTTTCCTCCATCCATCCTTACCTCGGCGATGGCGAGACTGCCGCCCTTGGGGGCTGAAAACGACCCAGCCAACTTCCAAGTAGAACCCTGCTGGGTGTAGGTCGAAGCCATCTGACTGGCGAGTATTGTAACAGACTGTCCAGTAAAAAAAGAAAGTTGGCAATAAACAGGAGTAACAATGATCACGAACACCAGGGATCGTATGGTCGATCTCTGTTAGCCTGCAGTTGGGACAGGCTTCCCCATGGGGTAGAAGCCGGATTGACAAGATTGATAGGAGAACCCCAGATTCTGTCTCTCCACGATGTTGCCGCCACTTTATCTTCCATCTCTCCACCTTTATACATATTCATCTCTATCTTGACCTGGTCTGGAGGCCACGAGTCATCTTCATCTCCAGACATCAGATATCCACAGTTAAACATGTCAAAGCATGGCGATCCAAACATGGTCAGCCCATACAGAGACATCCAGCAAGTCGGCGACAAGCATGACCTGGGAGAGGTTGAAAGAACTCTCTCTCCAGATCTGGATAAGGGGGACCAGCCAAGATACGACAAAGTCGACAAGGAATTGGCCCAATATGTCGCCGATGAAGCCTTCGAGATATCGGAAACGGAGAATGCTCGCCTGCGCAAGTTGATCGACAAACGAGTGCTCGCCATCATGATCACAACCTACTTCATCCAAGCCATCGACAAGGGGACCTTGAGTTTCTCCTCCATCATGGGCATCAGAGAAGACACTGGTCTTCATGATCAGCAAGTATGTGATATAGCTTTCTTGTTCTTGAAGCTCCGTAGCTTGTCCTGTGATTGTTGCCACTAACAAATTGTCACTCCTCCAGTACGCCTGGCTAACCACATGCATCTACATCACCATCCTCATCGTCGAGTATCCCCAGAACTACATCATCGCCCGCGTACCTATCGCCAAGTACCTCAGCTTCATGATCATAGCCTGGGGTGTCGTCCTCGCTTGCACCGCCCTTTGCAAGGACTTCACCGGCCTGATAGTCGTCCGGACGCTGCTCGGTCTTTTCGAATCCGCCTGTCAGCCGGCCTTTGTCATTCTGTCCTCGATCTGGTACAAGCGAGAGGAGCAAGCGTCCCGGGTGACCTACTGGTACATGATGAACGGCGCCCAGCAAATCGTTGGCGGTCTCCTGGCCTACTGCTTCTCACTGATCAAAAACGGCCCTCTCAAGTCCTGGCAATGGCTGTTCCTTTCTTACGGAATCGTCTCGGTCCTGTACGGCCTGTTTGTCGGCTGGTGGATGCCCGATTCACCCATGCGTGCGAAGTGCTTTCTCGAGGAGGACAAGCGGCTGATGGTCGAACGTGTGCGTGCCAACCAGACGGGCGTCCAGAACCGCAAGTTTAAGAAGGCGCAGGTCTATGAAGCCTTGAAGGACCCGCAGGTCTGGGGGTATGCTCTCGTTCAGCTGTGTACCACGCTCCCGACCAGCGGCCTCGGTAGCTTCCAGGGTATCATCATCAGCAGCTTTGGGTTTTCTCTGCTGGAGACCCAGTTGCTGGCCATGGTGCTGGGCTTCTATATTATTATCGTGTTGTTGGGCTCTGTGTGGATCGTCAAAAAGACGAAGCAGAACTTGCTGACAATGTTAGGCTTTTGCATTCCGTCCTTTATCGGCACCATCTGCCTCATGACGGTGCCGGCGGACACCAAGACGCAGAAGATTGGGCTGGTCATCTGCTACTATATCACCTTGTCCTTCTGGTCGGCTCAGACACTGGCTTTGTCCATGCTCTCACGGAACGTGGGTGGCCAGACCAAGAAGGCTGTGGCTGTTGCCTTGAACTTTATCATTTGGGCGGCCGGAAATGCCATCGGTCAGTTTTTGTCTCCTCTCCTAATGTGGTGACGGTCCTTTGCTGACTGTGATGCGTATCGGCTAGGGCCCCAAGTTTTCTTGGACTCCGACAAGCCACGGTACTTCATTGCCTTTTCAACGCACCTGGGCTGTTACAGCCTGCTCGTCGTCGTCATCGTCGGTCTGCGATCCTATCTCAAGCACCAGAACAAGAAGCGGGATGAGCTCGCTGCCACCGGTATGCAAGAGGCTGCTGACGGAAGGATGATTCATGCGTTTGAGGATCTGACGGACAAGGAGAATGCCAATTTCCGCTATGTGTATTGATGGAAGAAATGTCGCCGCTTGCTGGGCTGGGGCATGTTTGCTCTCTTTCGGTGCTCGAAAACTTGTGCTATTGATTTTGTTGGTAGCGATTGAATCATTTGCGTTTTCCCCACTCTTTGGGCGTTAACATCTCATCATTTCGCTCCTGCTGGTGTCCATGATCGTCGTGCAAGTCGGAGGATGGGCCCTTCTTGCGGGACTTTTCGTGGTCAATTATGTTTTTGTTTTGTCAAAGGAGCATGTAGGGCGCGAACCTCGGTCGCCGCTACGAACGGTAGAGTCACGCAACCTTTCCGCCAATTTTGATTTCCGTACTTCTTGTTGAAATGTAACCGTCGTTCGTAGTCCGCGCATCAGAACTCTGTTTTCTGTTTCTAGTTTGGACGTTGTTCTCGAATCCTATGCTGGCATGTGTAATTAACCGTTCGTCAGTGCATTCCAGTTTCAACACAACAATAGGTAGGATCAAGAATTGGGGGGACGACCTTGACCCCTCCCATGCACGGCCCGCTTGTATCTTGCAGGCAACTGGTTTCTGCGTGATTGTATAATACAACCTATAGGTATAAAATAAGAGGATTACGAGCACTGTACTGGCATCTCCCGCGCTGAGGCTACATGGGATGGACTACATGTAACATCATCAAACAACCCCCATGGGTACGGATTCGTCTTGCTGCGTTGGTTAGACCAGTCTGATCAGCAAGTAAACTCGATATCATCGAGGTCTTTACTTCATTTGTATGTTTTCCAGTATCCAAGCACGCCAGGTATATATTGAATTTACGTCCACTTCTCAAGAGGGCCTCTTCCCCTTCACCCGACGTCAAACGCCCAGGTGGCTGTTGCTGAAGTCTCAGTCTCATTGGTCTCTTCAACATCCCATCTCTGATATGGCTTCACCTTCGCCCCCGATCCCGCTGGACATGGCCGCCACCGGGTCCCTGGGGCCCTTTCCCACTCCCACCCACGGCCAGCCCGGAGCCGGCTCGTTCACTATAGCCTGTTCCGCACATATCAAGGCCACACCTCGCACATGTCTTGAAATTCTTTTGAAGGCGTCAGAGTACCCAACATGGAATCGCTACTGCCGGAAATGCATCATAGACGCTCAGCCGGATGGAAACCAGCCCAAGGACAAGAATTACAAAAAGTCCAAGTCCATGACGGATAAGAACAAGTCAAATCCCAAGTCTGGTAAGCCCGGGGAGCCGGTAGACATACCCGTGGCCGTGCCCGTGGCCGAGCCTGCTTCGGTTACTGCTTCTGTTGCTGGTACTGCTCCCCGCACGCTCTCCCCTGCCAACCCTCACTCCTCAGGGGTATCTTCCGCTTCATCTGCCCAACAAGCTCTTCCCAGCCTGGTTGACCCAGAGTTCCTCCGCCTAGGCACTAAATTCACTTTCCATGTCCATATGGACCCTCTATCAGAGGACAGCAGCGCCCGCAACACCGCGCTCGAAGTCAGTCGTCTGGAGAGGATTGACGAGGTTGTCAAGGCGGATGTCTCGTCTGTTTTCGGGTCGGCTGCTTCATTGCCTAGTGATGGTGGTAGTGGGACTGACAGTGGGGCGAAGACTGGGGCTGCTCAGGATAGTGGTCGTGACGGTGGTGGTGATGGTGGTGATGCTAGTGGTGCTGAAAGTCAAAACGATGACCCTCACCCTGATGCTGCTGCTGCTGCTGCTGCTGCTGCTGCTCCTCCTCCTCCTCCTCCTCATACTGTTGAAAAAATTGAAGTCAATGACACTTCGGTTACGACTGCCAAAAAGGATGGTGGCAAACCTAGCGACCCTCAAGAAAAAGACAAAGGGAAGGTGGCAGCATCTTCATCTTCATCCCCATCCAAAAACAACGACAAGCTCCAGCTCCGCCGCACCGGCTTCCGCATAGCCTGGAAGACTCGCCCCACAGCCTTCATGCCAAACTGGATGCTCCGATGCGAGCGCTTGCAGGAGTTTGTTGAAGTTCATCCTCCCTCTAGAACGCTTGACGAGCCAGAGACGGCGTATCAGTGCTGGGAGACGTTTTACGGAGTGTTGGCGCCGGTGGTGAAGGCGGCAGCGGGCAGTCAGATCGTGAGGGGTTTTGATGTGTGGATGGAGGGGTTGAAGAAGAGGGCGGAGGGGATTGAGGGTAGGTGGGAGCGAAAGGAGAAGGATGAGTTGAAGTCTTAGTGGAGGGATACGTATCTTCGTTGATGTTATGCTTCTTTGGGACGTGAGGCTGATTGTATTGAATCGTTAGCAAGTCTCGGAGGAAAATACGGGACAATAATACGTGGACAGGACCAACCTATCTATCCTCTTCTGGAATTCCTCTCTCGCTCGGCAATATCTTTTTTCTCCCATCATCCACGGCCGTTTCTTTTAAGTCGATTTCTCAACCTTTTTGTTACTATGACCGCACTTTTTTTCCCCCTTCAAGCAGTTCAACACATCCCAACTCCTTCTTCATTTGCTAATGCCATGGTCTTAAGGGCTCAGTCATTCACAGACATATCCTCCCCGACCATTCACTCATCAGCACCTTCCTTCTCCTTTTTCTCCTCCGCTTCCTCCTCCTCCTTCCCATCCCTTTGATCTTCCCCATTCTGATTCTCCACCTCCGCATCCTTCTTTTTCCCACTCTTCCTCTTTTTCTTCTTCGCTTTTCCCGAGCCAGCCCCAAGTCCCTCCTCAGAATTCCCCAAAGCCTCCCCCCTCTGAAACACAAACAGAGCCTCATCCTTCCCCGCAAAACTCGGCAACGGGCATTGCGCCACCTTCCTCCACCCTTCATCTTTCCACTCGCGCTCCATATATTCATCCATAGTCACCCCCTTGAACCCCGTATACCCGTTCCCATTTTGCGTACCCACCACCGCCAGGGTATCTCCCTTATAAGCCTTCATCAGCTCCCTCGTAAACCCTCCCTCCTTCCCGCCCGCCGCGCTACTATCACCCCCCACAATCGGATACACCAGCAGCAAAACCATATCTTGTCCTCCCTTGCTTGGGCAAGAAGTGGAAGAAGAAGAAGAAGGGGAAGGAGAGGAAAGCCAACGGACGCCGTCAGCGATGATGGTGTCGTCTATCCACATGACTCGCCATTCTGACTGGTTGTTGTCTACCGCATAGACTTTTTGTTGTTGCGATGGGGAGGAGGAGGGGGAAGAGGAGGTGGTGGGGCCAAGAGAGAGATATTGACGGAGCATAAAAGTCCAGTAGCCGTTGCCCGAGCCCATGTCGATTATGGACCGACCGCGGGCAAAGAGTTTGAGGAGGGAGAGGGATTCGTGCGAGGGGACGGCACAGCCGAAGTGGTGCATGAAGATGGGCAGGATGTGGTGGGACATGCGGGGGTTGGTGAGGATGATTTTGTTGGTGGTGTCGTTTGGTTCGTCTTTTTTTGCTTCATCGGTGGTGTTACTGGCAGGGGGGGAAGAAGAAGCTAATGATGAAATGGGTACTGGCCCGCACCATTCCAAGTTCCGACAGGACCAGGCCCAGAAATCAAAGTAGGGGTTACATGGCAAGGGAGTCTTGCTGTCCTTTTTGGTTTTGGAAATTATGAGCTGGTGGCCGAGGGGATGCCAGTCAGATGCAATGTAGCGCTTGGAGAGCAGATAGGTGGCGGAGCGTAGGCGGATGGATGAGCGTTTGGCGTTGGACTGGAACGCGGTGAGGGCCGAGGCTGTGGCCGTGGAGGGAAGGAAGATGGAGATGTAAGATTCTATGTCTGCTTGGGGTGGAGGAGGAAGCTGGATAGTTGAGGTGGGTGGATGTTAGCATGATAGACAAACATATCCTTGGCAGAGATGAGACTTGTTGAGTGAGCCCGGTGCCGTTGTGGATGGAAGAGCTGAAGTAAACAAGAAAAAAGGGGCTCCCCCCATGGAAAACCAGCCTCAGCATCAGCAACTGGTACATACCAAATCACCACCCTCCAATCTATACCATCCATGCATCCCCTTGGCCCCGCCAACATCAACCGCCCTCTGGACCTGTGACAGCTTCACGCTGGCAATCGCATGGTACACGTACTCATCGGCTTCAGGGGCGTTGACGTCGTCGGATAGGTGGAACCACGTTCGGATGGCTGTCGCGAAGTCATTGGTTTCGGCCAGCCGCTGTAGTACCTGCTTATGTGTCTGCTCGTCTTTGACTGCCTCGCTGGGAACGAATGTGAGGCTGCCTAGGCAGTACATGGTCACTCGGTTCCCGGTTGATGTTGTCACTGTCATGACCATCTTGGGCAACAGCAACGTGTATCTTTGTGGCACTGTAGTGTAGGCTGTTTGTGTGCTTTCTGGGCGATGGGAGTATCGGCGTGAGAAAGTGGGTATAGTGATGGTGTAGTGTACTGTATTCCGATTTCTGAACGTGGAAGACTGCACTTTACGGAGACATCAACTCGGGAGGAACGACTACGAGGAGTTTCCCCACAACATAACAGTCTCTACCTATGCTCAATCGACGATGGCCATGATGTGCATCTGACGGGTTCCAATCGATTGTTCCCGTCTTGTTTGGCATGTCATGCTCGGATCATGGCATGACATGGTAGCGCCGGCTACTGCCTTGGTTATTGGTCGATGTCTTGGCCAACATGCATGCCGATATTGCCGGGGGCAGCGGGGGTTCAAGACGAACGGGGGTCCGGGCACGCGGCTCGCACTCTTGACACCTCCAGTCTCACAACCATACATATCTCGCACAGCCTCAAGGCATCCGCTAAAGTATTGCGCGGTTCATCACTGTCCACTTGCGAAGCTCGACAGATGAAGCCCTTTCATATTATCACTATCTATGCGGGCTTGATTTTCGAACAACCGGCAACAACCTACGGCATCACTTGCGTACGAGCAACTGGAGCCTTCCGTATACTGGACATCTCGTTTTCTACCTGGCAGTAGACTGCGCTCCCCTCAACCGGGATATAAGTGATAAATGATTATGTCCCTTTTGCTCCATAGTAGCCATGTCTATTCATACAAAGCTGCATGTTCTTGCTGTAATGCATCCAGCCTTGCTTTGGCCCACGAAGTCTCTGCCGGGAAGATGGCGACTAGGGAGTAATTTGACTCGGCGGCTTCTCGCCTCGCCCTATGGTCGCGATGATTACCGTCTGTTTCTATCCACAACTGGAGTTAGTGCAGTAAGGAAGCTTGAGCTTCTCTAGCGCGCCGCCGCTTTCTCCTTAACGCTCTTCTTTGACGACTTTGCTCCGGGTTGGATTCTTGCCATCATTTCCTCCTTGGTAATCAGATGGTCAATTCTTTCCAGGTGGCCTAGCAAGCTCTTCATGTTGAAGCTCCACTCGTTGAGGATATCGTCCGCATCCCGCGGCTTAGCAAAGCTCACGATGCGCGCCGGGCGGTCGATCTTGGCATAGACCGTTTTGAACGTCACGAGCTCGCTGATATACTTCTCCGTCTCGTCCTCAGTCAAATCCAACAACTGGGTAAGGCGATCCACACGAATGCGCGTGTAATACTTGGCCACCACACGCACATTATGCTCGATGACGCGCTTACGCAGGTCTTGCCAGCGCTGGAAAGCCTTGTCGTCGGCTGACTGGTTGGGCTCCGAGTCGAAGATCTCGGTGCTGCAGAGGTGTGGGCCAAAGATTTTGGAAACCTCGGGCCAGCGCATGAGCTCGTGGACGGTAAACAGCTTCAACAACTCGGCATCCTGAGGGACCTGTGCGATTCGTGGGTCCTTGTGGATTCTGTGGAGAAGATCGTGTTGCTCGTTGTCGTGAGGGGCAAGAATGATGAAGTAGATGATTCTTTGCAGGACCTGTCAATCCATGTTAGTCTAAGAAGATCACCATGCGGTGTGTCTGAGAAGCTTACGGCCTGCAACTTGGCGGGGTCCTCCTCTACCGCCTCGGTATCCAGCACTTGACGGTAGTACTTGCAGACGTCGAGGTATCTTGAGTCGTGCTTGGCCAAAATGATCTGTTGTTCGTAGTATCGCAACTTGAGGTCGGTGACATCATCCTCCTTCTCCTCGGAAACCTCCTCGCCCTTGGCCTTCTTGGCCTCCCTGTCCTTCTGTTCCTTGTCGAGCTGCTCTTGCGTTTTCTTGGGCCTGCGCGCAAGGTACTTGGTGCTAATCTTTCTGCTGAGAATGCCCGCCTGTGTCCAGTCCTTGCTCTCTATGCAGAGCGCCACCTGAGCCAGAATGAATTCCACCTTTTCCCTCCTGTCCATGGAGCCAAATGTCTCCACCTGAAGCTCGCACAGGATATCGGTCGCAGCCTTGAGATCGCCCTGCTCTTTCTTGATGTCGGAGAGAATCTTGGTGACGCGCGCGCGCTCAACCTCGAGAAAGATCTTGCCCTCGGTAACAGTGCGCAACGTCTCGATGACGGAGAGCTTGGTCTCCAGGTTCGGGGTTTCTGGGAGGAAGTCGATGACGGTCTGCACCATCTTGGTGATGGCTTGTTTGAGCTGGCCATGTTTCTTGGAGAGAACAAGGGTCTGGTCGTTGAGCAAGCTCCAGTCGCCTGCATTCTTGCAGATGGTAACGATAGCGACCAGAATACGGGATGTCGATGCGAGATCGGAAGCCTGTCGTCGGCGAGTGGTCAGCGTGAAGGAGCGGGGGACAATGTAGGTGGCCGAGCGTGCTTACCTGGCGCGTCTGCTTTTCGAGGACAGAAAGCTTCTCGATAGCCGCTTGAATGTCTGTCTACAAGGGTGTTTCATTATCAGTATCTTGTCTGCCGACGGTGGCAACCATGGGAGTTTTGCGATTACCTTGGCCAACTGCTCGGCCTCGGGCAGCAGCTTGTCGACTTCCTTGGAGAAGTCCTTCTCCGGCTTGAACGCAGGCTCCGCCATGATGTGCAGTATTGAGGATGTGTGGATAGGCGCTGTCAGACTGTTTCAGGTATCGTGGGCTGGGCGGCGACTACACTACGTTCGCGATGGGTTCGTGTTGTTGATGTTGTGATGATTGAGGGGCAGTTCGTTTGTTAGGTAGGTAGGTTGTTTGGAGACTGCTCTTGGTAGGTAGGTAGCCCGGTACCTTGAGTGTCGTCAGTCCAGCGATTCCGTTGGCGTAGTGAGGTGCTGTGGTTAGGTCGTCACGGTAGCTGCTGCTGGAGTGGGACCTGTCACTGCTAGCAACCCAAGCACGCTCACTGCAGCGGTACGTAAAGGTAGGACGAGACCAAGGCTCAAGCTCCACGTCAGTTTGCTCTGCCTGTCGGGTGGAGCACTGCTTCAGTCCAGCGAATGAAAGTGGCGAACGTGAAGGGGAGCTGGGGCTGGAGTGAGGCTGAAGCTAGGCAAGACCCCCGGCCGCTTTCCTGAGTGGGCTATGGAGGCTACTCTGTGGCTTGACTCTACATTACTTAGTTTTTAAGTATGTACTCTGGTTTTCCAAGATGACCATCATAGAACAACGACCCCGGTTTCCTCCAACAACGAATTGCCCGAACCACATGTTATTGAATCCAACTCATAATCCAAGTCGCCGTGCCATTTTCGAGAAACCCAGGGTTGGTGTGCGGATCAAGAACCTGGACCTGGACCTGGGCATGGACCCTTTCTGTGAGATCCTGCTCTTACGAATCACAGTAATGCTGCAATCTTTGTACCCCATGACCTGTTCATTATTAAATCGAGACCGGTCCGTGATGTATACGGAGTTGAGCCGCTGTAAGGAGATATAGTCTGCTAGGGTATCGAGGCCCCCAAACCTCATGACCTCCGTGACACGTTTGGATGGCATCTTTGGCATTGCCAGAGATCAGAACAGGAATCGGGTTGGTTAGATGGATGCGTGTGGTGGCGACGGGCGCTCCTCCGAGACCTCTCGGGACTGCGAATGCGATTGCGATGGGTTCGTGACTGGACCATACCATGACCTCTTATTCTTTTTATCCTATCATTCTCTCATCCTCTTTCTGCGAAGCGGAATAGCCTAGCTCTGTGATCTGCTCAGGGCGACACCAAGTGCTAACTCGCTTCCAGAGTCATCATCAACGTATTTCCAAGGTTACTTAGTCTGAGGCAACACGGCATCGACTTGACTTGTACAGTTCTGCTATCCACGGTCACATCGTAGTCTATGTAAGCAACCGAACATGCAGTCCTTGAACTGGGTGTCTCTATTTTACTTTATTCGTGTTTCTCTTCCTTCCGTTTCGGTGGCTGTTCTGTAGTGCGCTGTGGCTTGTCCGGGTCACTTCATCCGCCTACCGCACGACACCACCATATTGCAAGCCGAATCTGTACGACGGAGAATGAAATCGGGATGATACCGTATTGGTGGTTCATAAGCACCTTAATCAGACGGGGAAACAGACGACGACGAGCCTCCTCTGGAAAATGAGAAAAGGAAGGAGGGGGGGGTTGACGAGTGGAAGAATGAAATAGTTTCCAAACCCCCCACATCCTGGCTACGCTATACGTCAGGGATCGATTGCATTATCTTCATTTTCTACCCTCCCTTGACAGCGTGGTACTGTGTATTCTGTACCTGGCTGCCAAGCGCGCTGGTGCAGAACGCAAGGGGGTCCAGACTACGGTACCTACATACTAATCCAGGTCTGTAAAGTCGTCAGAGGTTCACCAGCATTGGAACTTCCATAACACTCATCTTGTTTGCCCTTTTGGTTCTTGTCGCCAACTTCACCCCTTCACATATTGCTTCAGAGTACAAGCATTCGGTAGCTGCTTGCCTCTGCCCCGACGATCACGCGGACGACAAGCTCTTTGGCAGTTGACCATCCTCTAATTTGAGTCCATCCTCATTAGCACAGACGACTCACTCACTTGGGCGATACTTTGTAGGTTAAGCTCATACAGTTTTATCCGCGACGAATTCCTCGATTTCCAGCTTTACTACTGGCTTTGATTGCTCTCTGGACAGCAAATAAGTGCTCATATCCCCGTTAACATACTGGGTCACAAACCTACTTGGGCTTCCCTTGCTGTGGAACATACGCCGAGACTACTGGCCACCAACCGTTCGAACCTGGATCTCGGTCTGAACGATCCGTCATCCTGTCGCAGTAGTCACGATTTTCTTTCCCGTCTCCAGAACACAAGCCACAGGCTACCTATCCTTCGCCTCACCTTTACCACGCTTTACAAATCGCGTCCCAGATTTTCGGTCTTGAGTCTGTTTCACAGTGTGGTGGTCTCTCATGTCCTGAGAGCTTCTCTCTTCCTCCTTACCCGTCTCCCTGGCGATTGACTGCTCGTATAACCGGGTCTAGGCGTGCCAAGTTACAGAATCACTACACAGTACGCCAAACATATCTTCGGACCCCTTCACGAACGGATTTGCTGTGCATGCTGCTGGCCGTTGGTGGGACACTGGCTCTTCTGTCCTCACGGCGATACACAAGTCTCGGCTGAGCAATCAACGCTCCCGTTCAGTCCGCGTGTTACTCAAGACCACATAGCCCGCACTTGAGACCTACAGACATAACGGGCGTGAGGAGTTGGTGCTGCTGCTGCTGTCCCTGTGTCTGCTTCTGCTTCTACTAGGGTCAAAGCGATATAACGTGCTGCAACCTCGATTGGCCCAAAAGGTAGCCTGTTGCTGTCTTGGGCTTATCCCCGTCCTGCAGTCCCAAACCCACCAGTCAGTCCCCTTGGCCGCCCTTGAAACGAGAGAGGAAAGAACTTTTCCAGGTTCGCGTCTGCTGCGTTTTCGGCGTCCAGGATGGAGCGCATACAGGGTGACCCGGCTGTGTCCGGTGTCTCGGACCCCAACAAGAACAGAACGTACGAGTGTAGCTCATCTGCCAGCGACGATGGCACCTTGGCCCAGCCAAGTTCCCAATCGATTTCGTCACAAGTCGAAAAAGGCTCGGCGAAAGCCCAGCAGGTGGTGGTGGTGGTGGACGAGTCCCCCGATTACACGGTTGCGCAAGCAGACACAGCAGTCATCCTCACCTCCAGTAAAACCGCACCAAAATCTCCTCGAGCTGACGATGCTCCAATAACGACCCATGACCCTGACCTGGAGGAGAGTACCGACTCCGTCATATCTCGTGCGGACACGGTCTTTTCCAAATCGACGACAAACTCCCCTTCACTTTACGGCGCATCCCCGTTTCCGTCGGGTGAACCCAGCTCGCCAGGCGAGAGGTCGATTCGGCTGCTGCTATCATCACCGTCACCATACCACACGGCACTGGAAGCGACGAGACGGGGGCGAGAAGAGGCGGGCGAAGAAGATGATGACGGGGAGTTCGACGCTGAGCAAGAAGAAAGGGCAGCTGTAGAGCAAGCGGCTGAGGACGGGAATATCACCATCGACCATGCCGATATGGCTTCAGACGCGGGTTACGAATCAGACGCCAACACGACATGTTCGACGTCGCTAGCTGAGAGCATACGCGACTATGTTTATGAGAATGGGAGGCGCTATCACAGGTTCCGTGAGGGACGATACAACTTTCCCAATGATGATGTTGAGTACGTCAAATCTTTCTGATATTGTGCGGAGGCGGAGAGGGTTTTAAAGACATCATCATGTGGGGATACTACGATGATTACCTGAATACGGTTCAGCTAACGCAGAGTCAACAGGCAACAACGAGAAGACATGAAACATGCCATGGTGAAGATGCTGTGCGGAAGGCTGTATTACGCGCCCATCGGGAGCCATCCCCAAGAAATCTTGGACATTGGAACTGGGACGGGACTTTGGTGCATTGAGAGTAAGTTCTGCCCTTTTTGAGCTTCGAGATCAGGCACCCCCTCTATGATCAAAAGAAAAGGCTGACACACGTATCATCCCATAGTGGGTGACATTTTCGAGAGCGCGAATATCCTCGGCGTAGATCTAAGTCCAATACAACCGGAGTGGGTGCCGCCTAATGTGCGGTTTATGGTCGATGATATTGAGTAAGTTACCTTAATCCTTAAGTATTTTATCATCACAAAGAGGGTAGTCACTTACCAATGTCACAGAAGCCCGTAAGTTGACGAAGCCATATTCGGGAGAGATGATGATGACCAATGATTTCGAACTAACATAAACCTCAAGATGGCTACACCCACGTAACTACTTTGACTATGTCCACGCTCGCCACACCGTAATGGGCATCAAGGACTGGCCTCGTCTGATGAGGCGAACATTGGAGTACGTTTCTTTCTTTCTCTTTTATCCCCCTACCTGCGCCTACTTACCCCTTCATCCAGCCCGCTAACCGAGACCCATTTCAACTAGACACCTCCGACCAGGCGGCTGGTTCGAAATGCAAGAAGTTGTTCACTTTCCCATCTCCATGACCGGCCCCATGCCCGCCGACCACCCCCTGGCTCAATACTGGGCTGTAGTCCGTGATGGTCTCGCTGCCCTAGGTGTCGACTTCCATGCTGCGGCCGGCGGCAACCTATCACAAATGATGCGCGAGGCTGGGTTCGTGAATGTCACGGAGCGCATTCTACAGATTCCTATCGGAACTTGGCCTAAGAATAAAGTGCTGAAAACGGTGGGGCTGTACTGGCGCACGATTTTGCTGGATGGCATCCAGGCTATTGCACTGGGACCCCTTACGAGGGGATTGAGATGGAGCAGAGAACAGGTCGAGATGTTTTTGATTCAGGTTCGGAGGGCGTATCATGATAACTCGGCGTTGTTGTATATGCCGTTGCATATTGTATATGGGCAGAAGCCCGTGGCGGGGAGTTACTGAGTGAGCGGGCTGGGGTTTACCGGGATGGGATGGGATGGAATTGATGCATGAATGGATGAACGAACGGATGGACGAACGGATGGATGGACGAGGCGGGTAGATGGGGGTGAAGAGAGTTTTTTTTTTTTTTTTTTTTTTTTTTTTTTTTTTTTTTTTTTTTTTTTTTTTTTTTTTGGTGGATAGGTTCGACGGTTGGGCGGATGGATCAGTGGTTCATTGATGGTCGCATTGCAAATGGACGGACGGCCGGATGGAGGTTTACACAAGGATGGCTTTTGTTTTCGTCGGGTGATGATCTCTTTCCCCGTTATCATCTTGTGCCTCCCTCCTACGTATAAGATACCACTGGCGACGTTTTCTGGTCAGAATTCAATTTGCACATTTTATTCACCCTCAAAGTCCAATTATCTTTCTATGTGGCTGGTTACTTGTGATCAGAATGCATGAGGGAACAGATCGAAACACAGAGGGGAGTAAAGAGAGAAAAGGAATTATGGACGAAATGTCCCGGTCCGTACGGATGGAAGCCAGAGAAGCTCAAGACACGAGTAGCGCACTCTCGTCCCTTCTTGTCTTTTTTTCATCTACTCGCTTTTCACAGTCGCAGTCCACGATCTACATGACCTATTAGTGTACACTACAGATACACCGGTCGTCATCGCCTTCGAAACCCCTCATCCACACCAAAAGCCAGACTGCTGTTGAACTCATTGGAGCCCCTGCAGAGGGTATCATCGCTTGACCATTGCTTAGGTTCCCCGAGCATCGCTAGTGCTCCCCTTCTGACCCTTCAGATACAAATCCCAACTCGGAGTCGAAAACACGGCATTGGACTTTCCTAGGTATCATGCCCTACGTACTTCCGAGGAGTGGTGTGGTATGGCGTTGTCGCTGGTGTGCCCCTGGTGCCGAGTGGTCAAAGTGATGGCAGGTGGTGTGGATTCAACATCACTGTATTGTACTCTGTCCCTTTCTTGCTCAAAAATACAGGTAACCTAAACGCCCAAAATTCAATGACATATCCTTCTTGTAAGTGGAAGCCGCAAGCGAACTTGCAGGGGGGGATATCCACATTGAACCTCGAATTCTCATGCAACGGTTCGGCAAGAAAAGAAAAGGGGGTTAAGTTGTCTCCACCAATGCAGCCGAACGCGATCGCAAAATGCAAGTTTCGTTGTTTCTTCGGCTCCAGTCATTCGCTTCCCCACAGCAGCAGTACTAGTGTAGTAGCGTTCGTTAGGACTAGCTTCTCACTGGTCCGACGGCTTGCTTGTGTTTTTCCTGGACCCCCCCCCCCCTTCCCTTCTCTTCTCCCCCTTCCCCTCTCTGGATCTTTTCTGACCATCGCTTCACCTAACTTTGGTCAAGGTCGCCCATCATCGCCAACCCTGTTGACGACATGTGGACTAGATCTAGAAGGTAAGAGATGCTTTCTGATACAAGGACGCCCAAATCCAGCCATCAGCACGGCCTTTCCGCAGTCATCACATCACTACATCGCATTATTTCTTCATGTTGGAGTGTACTTGGAAGCCGAACGTCATATGCAGTTTGTGTTCTTCCATTTCTATGACTTCGGTCGCCCATGCGTATCCCACCGTTACCGTTGGAAACTCCGGTGGACGCCGGGATAGCCCAGAACGAACGTTTTCCATATATGTACCTTGATGGGTACATGCCTGCATATACTGTGTACGCTACGTGTATGTACACTAATGGATAAATCATTGACGACGTTCTTCCAGAGTATGTAGTTGGCTCGGATATAGCGTAGTTGATATTCGAGAAGTCCACAAGAAGGAAACTGGAGATCGGATGCCAGAACGAAGATGAAGTGGGTAGAGTGAACAAGAATGAAGATACACTAGTACGTTGTCCCCTTGTTAAGCCTAGCCTCACTAGCGACCGATGTCTCCTCCTTTCACACGTGGCACCCGCCCACCCACTCGGCCCCTTGGTGGCTTGTTCCGAGCAATTGAAACATGCGTTCGATGCTTTTTGCTTGATGCAACAGCAGAATTGCTTTCTATATAGAAAAGTGATTTGCCGAAGAGTTTGTTCCGATTTTCCTGGCTTGTGTTTCCATGTGATTTAAGGTATAGGGACAATTAACATTATCGAGCAAAGATGGGGTTAACAGCATGATTCGGATTCCGATGTCCCAGGGGGGCTTTGGACTGGACCGAGGACTTTTATCATTTCGTTAGGGTGGCCGGTTTCCAACCAGTCAACGGCTCCCTTTCTTAGCAGCCTACAAGTACATACATCTTACATAGTAGGGCTTGTACACTAGATACCTCAATCGCCTGCCGCCTTGCTAGCATTCACTCCGTCAAAGGGATCTTGTCTTTTGTAATCTGTAGTGTAGTCCGTAGTCCATAGCTAGCATGTCGACATCAATCAGCCGAGGCTTTCCCTGTTCGCGCATGGATTTCGTGAACAACACCGAGAGGAAGCACACTACGGGTTCCGATAATCGATACCCTCTCCATGGTACTGGGTCGGAAGCAGGTAACAAATTACGGGAACAACAGAAGGAAGAATCATCCATCCCACTTTGTGTCATGTCTTCGTTCCTCTTTTTGTGTTCTTTGTGATACTGGAACCGAGTACGTAGGTAGGTACTTTGGTGTGCTGTGCTGTGCTCTGTTTGTCCAATGCGGGCTTCTGGGGTAGGGGGATGGTGTTAAAGTGTCTGTGTAATGGGATATGGGTATTTTACAGATAGATAAAGCCCAGTCTGATCATGTTTGCTTGCTTGTTGAAGTGACGAAGAACTCGTTATGGCTCACCAGTGTTGGTTGTTCAGTGCTTGCCGAATTGACTTGGCGTGAGCAACCGCAAATATTCATTGACCAGTCGTTTCAAAGATGCCGGAAGGCTGCTTTGAAATGCCGTGCTGACGGCTTTCAGGCAGAACGGATGGCTGAGACATGGCTTGATGGCGGTTTCGACTGCCGTGACATGAATCATTTGCGGCATTGGTGTTGTTGGGGGGCTCTCGCCTGCCAACGTCCACGATGTTCACTGCAAGACCCTCACAGGCGTGTCTGCTACTTGTTGAGGGCATCCCACTGGTGTGGTCACACAAGGCGGCCGCCCACTCAATTCAGATGCCGAACAATCGGTTCGTGTGGGTGTGCAGATGTTCCGTCAGGGCAAACTAGAAGTATTCTTAGGTCGGTACCTTGGTAGACAATGATCCTAAAAGAGGTGACCACCACCTTCTGACTTTTAAGAATTGGTGTGTCGTCGGTCATTGCCCCAAGTCTGACCTGCCAGAATGAAGATGATTTCACACCGCTTGACTGTCATGTGAATGACATCAAAGAAGGCAAGGGGAAAGGAAGAAGGCAGATGTGGTTGTGCGCGGCATCCCTCTTGGCGGCCCTGGAAGTACATACATAGGTACCTACATACATATGGGTGAGTGAGTGGACTGCCAATTTCGAGGACTGTGGGGCCTATCAGAACTCAATGACCAATCAGACGTCTCGGTTCTCGCATCCATCTCCGACCATTCTGCCTCTTCTGTTTTCTCAGTTCCCGACCTTGCAGCAATTCCTGGGGAGGGAAAGGCGTTCGCATCAATGTACGCTGGATTTGCTCGCCTTGGCACCCTTTGCACCGTTCAACACACTTTTGTTGTCCTCCTCCATGATCCGACCTGAGAGAGGTCATCTACCACGACATGTCGTCCAGTTAGTTGCCTTGTTGGTCGTCATCGGCCTAGTCCCGACATCAGGGCACTCATCTCCCAGCTCCAAAATCCCAACCAGTGTCCGCAAATCCCAGACGCCAGGTCCCAGGCCCAGGACCCCCAAGAACCGCAGGAACCAATTCCAGAGGCCAGCGAGGTTCACTCCCCACGTTTCTGCCACGGGCCGCCAGTGTCCACCACCTCTGAATTCGAGGCTCCTCACAGGCTGTACAACCCAGGTCGTACTAGCGTGTGCCCAGTAGCTCGGGACTGGGAGGGCGCTGTTCCGACGGTTTGGATAGGTAGCCCGTGGCTGTTAACTTCTCCCACACTTGGCTCGGGGAAACACCAACGCCATCCTTCTTGACCTTGGCTTCCCTCTCGGCTATGTTTCCAGGCGTCGTAATACGAGTTCCTGGACGAGATACAACGTCACCTCGGCCCGCGGCATTGGCAGCAACTGTGTATATCTATAGTACCCCTTCTAACTTACCGGAGCCCGGTCCTATGGGTAGGAGTGTGGACGGATATGGACATGTATTGGCCAGGACATGGCGAATACAAGACGAAATAATGGATCTGATGGAACCGCCCGCTTGCATGCGCTCCCCCGTTGGTAATAAGCCAAAGGGATGGTTTGCTCACATGGTGGACATGGCCTTGTTGTGTCGTGCATGACCGCCATCCATCGATCGATGCAGCTTTGCAATCTTTAGGAATTCTGGGTCCTCCATGGGCCATATGACCATGTTCCTCCAACCTCCTCCTCCATGGACAACGAAAGGGGCATGGACTGCTCACTCCTCCGGATATCCCCCGGAGCGACTCCCCTCCTCTCCGCCAACTAGCATCTAGCCATGTAGAAGCCCGTCTCTATAGCCTGGGTCTGCCCTGTCTATTGCCGTCTGATCCCATTCGCCTTTGTCTTCGTCACAATAACAACTGGAGCTTGCCCTGTCGTGCGACTTATACCCGCAGTCTCGCCGGCAAACTTCACTGGTTCTTCTTCTCTTCGCTCCCGGATACGCATATTGAGACCGGATCAACACCGACAGCGTGGGACCAGCCCAGTTATTACTCCACGTTTCCCTCTCCTCCATCCCTTCGACCAACACCACACCAACCGAACACGTCCCCAACGTCCCGGGACAGATACCAGCAGTGCGGTTTGACAGACAAGTCATACGGCCGTGCGACCGGCCCGGTAGGCAATCAGCTTCCCAACGAGACGGAGCCAGTGACCTCGGTGTAACCCAAACCAGTCCAGACTGTTACTCGACGTCGATATCCTGGTCAAGCCCGAACCCAGGCAGAATCCGACAGACAGGCGACAGCCATCAGACATACAGCCAGCAGTGCTTACGGTACATACCACTGCTGCATCGAGGTTACTGCACCCTCGACGACGGACCGCAAACAACGTCCTTCCTTCTAAAGGGGGTTGATTAAGAATAATAGTTCTTGACGTTGGCTCTTACTCACAGGTATTATACCTCCCCGTTTTTACTTTTGGTGGCGCTGTTTTACCCATTACTGTGTTGCATTCTATACCACCAGCCGACAGCCCCTGGTTGATTTGTATCATCCCCTACTTGAGCCAGGCAACATCTGGATCTCAAATCCATGCATATTGGGAACACACCAGACATGCCTCTTTATACGTATGGCCTTAACCGTGCGTGCTTCTTGTTATGTACGGCTTGCGGGAACTAGTCAATAGCATGATGTGGTTCACCCATTCCGTCTCAATCTCCTACGGACGTGTGGCTTCAATGAGCCTCTCTTTCATCCCTATTTGTCTAATTGAGGGAAGTGAATGGCTGACCTCATGTTTCCAGGCACTTCACCTGCCAAGGTTCAATTTTGGACCCAGGGTCTTCGTACCTGCAAAACCTTTCCCTTGTTCATACTTATATTCACTTACTGTGGTTGGAGCACTACGTGTGCCACTTTGACCTTTCGACGACTTCAAATCTGAAGCAACACCACATACATCGAAAAGCCAAATCGAACTGTCATCATGGGAAAATTCAAGATTAGCTCTTGGCTGAACCGCAGCCCATCACCCATATCCGACGAGGATGGAAAGAAGCAAAACCGCTCGTCATTTTCGGCCCTTTCTTCATCACTGACCTGCAAGCCCAAGGAGTCTCAGTCTAGCACCAATGGAATCCATACCTCTCCTCCCGATGAGCCAGAGCGACAGCCGTCAACCTCGCGGATGATTGCGTTGGCGCAAAAGATTGCAAAGGAAACAGAAAAGTTGGAGACGTACATGAAGGATAACAACCTCCCGATGCCAAGTTTTGACGTTGATGCGCCCGCCGATTTCCCGAAACTGCCCGCCGAGATTTCGAGAAGCAGGCAAGAAATCATTTTCGCTACAAGAGAACTGGGCTTGCTTGCGCATGGACCTCGCGAGTCACTGAGATGGGGTGTTTGGGAGGTACGTTGGCGAGAATTGTTCTCAAGGTTCTTCAATTTTCGGTAACAGAGGTTGAACTGACATGCTCTATAGTTCCTTGACGTTCTTGCCTTGCAAGTGATCACTCATTATGACATTGGTGAGTCTATGGTTAACTGCACTGTTTTGCCCTTCTTGCAAATCGCTAACAGTTTTCAGCCAAACTGTTCCCCCCAGCCGAGACCATCACCCTCTCGGAGCTTCAATCCAAGACATCATTGGACCCCATCAACCTGGCCCGCATCCTCCGCCTCGCCATGACTAAGGGCATCTTCCGTGAGCCCGTCCCGGGCATCATTGCCCACACGGCCGCCTCCCGCGTGCTTGCTGAGGACAGCGACCTGCATGCCTGGGTTGCCTTCAACGGAGAGGACATCTTCCCGGCCGCAGCCCACGTGCTTGAGGCGCTCAAGACCCACCCAGAAGCCACCTCACTCACCCGCGCCGGCTTCCAATTCGCCTTTGGTACGGTCGATAAGGAGCCCATGTTCGTTACCTTTGGCAAGGACCCGGCGCGCGCGCGGCGTATGGGCAAGGCCATGGTCAGCCTTACTGGCGGCGAAGGCTACGAGGTCTCGTATCTGCTCGATGTCGAGGGTGGTGGCTACGACTTTAGCGAGATCGACGCTAAGGGGGGCACGTTTGTGGACGTGGGTGGCTCGCATGGTTTTGTGGACGTGGACTTGGCCAAGAAGTATAGGAACATGAAGTTTGTGGTACAGGATACGGCCAAGACGGTCGAGAGCGCGCCCAAACCGTTTTGCGAGGACGAGCAGGTTGCTAGCAGGATTGAACTGATGCCTCATGATTTCTTCCAAGAGCAGCCTACCAAGGATGCGGATGGTGAGTACCATTGATGTCTTCCCTTCTCGCCGAGTCTCGCTTACCAATCGATACTCATAGTCTACTTCTTCCGCTGGATCATGCACAACTACTCTACCCCCTATGCCATCAAACTCCTAAAGAACTTGATCCCCGCCCTCAAACCCGGCGCCCGCGTCATCATTAACGACCATTGCCTCCTCGAGTCTGGTCAGGAAAACCCCTGGGACGAGACCGTCATGCGTCGTATGGACTTGGTCATGCTAGCGTTGCTCAACGCGCAGGAGCGCACCGAGGCCGAGTTCAGGGAACTGTTCAAGGCTGCTAGTGATGGGTTTGTTTTCAAGGTATGTCCAGTCATCAGCACCACATTCCGCATGAGTAATGATTTCTGGGCTTACCTCTGAATACTTAATGGCTAACAATATGTTGCAATAGGGCGTCACGAGACCTAAGGGATGCCGAATGAGTATCATCGAGGCTGTTTGGCGACCTGACCTGGTTGACTACGGTGCTTCTGCTACTCCTGCTGATGCTGATGCTGCTGCTACTGGTGCTACCACCGCCGCCGACGTCGAAGCTCCTACAACAACTGCCCTTGAGGGATTGGAGCAGGAGGATCAGGAGGCTAAGTAAACAGCCAGATATTAGCCATTTCGGCGCGTAGGAAAAGACGGGTCGAGAGTGAGTGAATGGGCTTTTCTAGCCAGTTTGAGTGCCCTTCTTCACTCATCCTTATTAGTTCACTGGCAACTTGCTGCATTGAACTTTCAGGCTTTCAGCTTCTCTTCTTTTATTTCCTACGAGAATTTGGAGGATACCCTCTGGAGAAAGAGCAGGGAAGTTTAATCGTTAGAACGAATACTTCAGAGATGAGAGGAGAATGAGGGAAGAACAGAAGCAGATGCAGAAGCGGAAAGTGGCGGAGCAGCAAAGCAACAAAGCAGTGGGTCATATCATCAATATCCATCTCACTCACATACCTGATCCGCTCAGAAATATCATAGATCAAACATACCCTTAGGTACCTCGCCGTCCTTAGCTAGTAATCTGAATTAACTAATGCTATCAATGATGATACGAAGTATAACCTAAATACACCCGGTAGACGGGAAGAGATCTTGAGGCAGGCGATATGAACCATGTACAGGAGAATAACTATGCCCGGAACATCGCCGTCATGATGTCGCAGAAAACGATTCTTGCAACATGTATGATCCGATCATCATTCTTCTTTTTCATTCAATTTTTATTCATATATTTTATTCATATATTTAACAGAAGTCTTTTTTCATTTTGATTCTTCTTTTCAGAGAGCGGGGGTTGGTTCCAACTGACATCAATGGCATTCTATTTCCACCCGCATAAAGATCTACTTGCTGAAGATCCGTAATATTTCGCAATCGATCACGTTGATCCTGCCGTTTCGTTTCTTTTTCGCTTTTCATTGTGTTTCGCAATTCGGCCTGTCTTTTCTCGGGCAGGCTGGCATCAACGGATGAGCCGCACCTTCCCCTTCAACGGCACGTCCCCCGCCCCTTTCACTGTATTTCGGGGGCGCAACTTCCGTAACAAGTCGAACCTTTCGTTCGCTTTAATTCTTTTGTCTGTACTAACGGCCAACAATCAACAGCAAATAACCAACAAAGAGCGGACAGGCGGACAGAACAGCCCGGGGAGACAGCGCCAGCGCCAGCGCCAGCAGGCCAGCGGGCCGTGCCGACTTCACTTGGGCATTCAAACAAAAAAAAACAATGAGGAGGACTGGAGGCTGAGAACGGAGCGAGCATAAAGAGGGAGGTGCGGTCTTGCCCGCCCGTACGCCACACGCAAATCACATTTGCACACAGGAAGGAAGTGAGGGGGACGGAACGGAAACAGCCCAGAACAAAAAGAGTGAGTACCTCTAGGTAGGCAGGTACGTACCGGCTGAGACGAGAAAGTGACGACATGTCAACAAGTGACGGAAGGTGAGTACAAAGACACCGACTTACCCAGAAACTTCGAGATGAGAAGAGCGGAAGAAAAAAAAAAAGATAGAAATGGAACGCATAGCTGAGAAGGGTACTGTACTGTACTGTAATGACTACCATACTTGCTCGGTCAACTCGGCCAATTCAGCCAGCAGTTGGCATCAACTACTTAGTATGTATCTTCAAACAGCGCTTTCAAGCTTCATCGTCAGAATAAGCATGGACGGGATGGGTCTAAATGGCCAACGTGGGTAGCGTTCGTTACCACCTTTCTGCTCCATAATGAACCTCTCAGGTGGTTGCATCTATCACTCCGAGTTATTGCAATATAGTAGGACAACAACGAAGATGACGATGTATAACAGTTACAGACTTGAGGAAATACCTATCCATATATCATCAATCATTCTACTACTACCCAATGACTGCTTGGTTGTCTCACTAATCGACAGCCATCCGACAGAGAGGAAATGGTAATGTAAGTATGTTCTGCGAAATACATTCATAATTTTCATTCTCGACGACACCAAACCAAACGGGCAACAATACAAACAGATAAACTATTTGCCCTAGTGCTTCTCTCCCTCCTCTATTCTTCTAAAGCGGAGTATTAGACAAGTCAAGACGGGACAGGATAACAACACTACTCGACCGATTAACCAGCAGTTGACTGTCCTTCTCTTTTCTAGCAAGCAAGAGAGCGATAACCACCAGGTCCTGACATGACAAGAAGCATATGCTGACCTTTTCAAAATTTCAAATTTATATCGTCGATTCAATTCTTTGCTTTACGTGAATTTTTATAATTTTGTGTTTTTGTCATATACATGTAAGTGTGTCAAGTTATCGAACAATCAGTCGAGATCGATCGTATCATCGATCGATCAACTGATTCCATCCATCCATACATCAGTTCCATTTCCTTACCCATTTCCATACCCATTCCAGTCCTTCCCTCTCTTTGCTCTTCTTAATCATCATGAAACATTGTTTGTGTGTATCTTGTCTTTGGGAGTGGTGTTTTTTTTGTTTTTTTTTTTTTTGGGGGGGGGGGGGGGGGGGGGGGGAGTCTTATGTTGAAGAAATTTCATGTTTGTGAGGTGCGATGAGATGCGATGCGATGCGAGCGAGTCTGAGGGTGGCGGTGCTTAAGATTCCTCCTCCTTCTTATCGCCGTATCGCATGCGCTCATTCCACTTGCGCTTTCCAACGCGGGTCTCGTAGTGCGGCGCAGCCGTCTTGACGTCTTGCATCATGCCTTCGATGGCAGTTCGGGTCTTGTTTCGGTAGCAGTCCACTGTGTTTTAGATGGCAATGATTAGCAATCTTTTTGCGTAGATGGGAAGGAAAACGGAGGAAGTAATAAAAGGAAAGGAAAAAAACCCACAAGCACGCTGCAGGAACACCGTCCTCCCAGCAAATACTCTGCTTTGGAGCCAGGCCATGCGATAGCCCAAGTCATTGAGCCGCACCTCTTTTCCACGGAACGCTTTCCTCATTCGGGGGATGGCGATCTCGCCCTCTTGGCTTTCGCCCATCGGGACCTTGACCATGACTCTGCCGCTCCGCTTGGTACCCCTTGCTGCGCCCCGACCCTCCGTATCGGTAGTACCATCATCCTCCACGTCACTCAAGTCATCGGTAAAGAACTTGCTGCCAGTGGCACTAGGAGGTGGGCTTTGCATCTCACGAGGGAAGTACGAGCGAGGGTAAACGCTAGCTCCCTTGCGGAAACTGTCGGGAATCTCGCGCGTGTCAACTCCATCAAGAGTAACTCTCACGCGGAGACGGCTGTGCCTGTCGCTGTCCTCAACCAAGATAAACTTGCGCTTCTTTGCTTCGGGGATATCAGGGAAGAGATCCTCGGGCTCGTCATTACGGGCGGTGCCGCGGCCGGGGGTCGTCGTGCGACGAGCGGTAACAGGACCGGTGCCGCTGGCATGTGGAGAGCCACTGAGGGTGTCATGAATCGAAGGCATTGCGGACGAACCGTATGGCGCACCGTTGGGATATGAGCCGTGGTTGGAGAAAACCTGGGCTGGTCTTTCGTCAGAGCTACCCTGGGAGGGAGCCTGATGATGATGATGGTGGTGGTGCTGTTGGTCGTCACCGTACTCCCCATCGCCTAAAAAAAGCAAAGAAATACGAGTTAGCGTGTTGATCTCAGTGGTGGATGGGCCAGACCCGATGGCATGGACCAGTTAGCCTTGCAACTTGAGAGTGCGATTGAGTGTGATGCTGTTTCAAACCAAAAGCCTGCGCGGCAACGTCAACTCGCAAATCTCTAACACCCCCCATGCAATGCGCGGTAAAGACAAAGTAACAGCAATTTCGGGGCTTTCCAGCCGCTCGGGAATGCCCCCCTGTTTCGCAGAGGGCCTAGTACATGTGTGGGTGATGATGGCGTTGGTTAATATGTGACAAGCGATGCTGATGGGTATGCAATTGCAAGGTAAATGCAATGCAAAACGTTTGCCAGAAGCCAGACGACTGAACGACGACCGAAAACCAGCAACACAAACTAAACAACAGCAAACGCGCAACTATCGTAATGTACAGATCTTTGTTTATACCAGAGATCTCCAGTATCGCCCATGCAGAGCTCGTCAACTTGCGTTGGCAAGCCGGTATATATCAAATCTGAAAGAAAAAGACAAAAACAAAATATCCCAAAACCCATAACATAAACCAAACAAGGCAGGCGCAGTTTTAAACAATCGGTTTGAAATGAGGTATCACACTGAATCGCAACAACTCGCGCATTAGGCCATCTGGTGAAACATACCGACTTCGTCTCCTCCTCCCTGGGCATTTCCGTTATCGTGGGCATGGTGATGGTGCATCGACGTACCCATATTATTAATTCCAGGCTTGTTGATAGCGGCAGCGCCGCTGGAGCCCATTGCTGCCGGTGTCGAGATGCCAGCAGGGCCGGTGGGACCGGCCATGTGGGCAGGATGGGGCGTTGCTGAACCGGCCTTGTTGCGGTGGTTCATCTTGGCCATTCGCCGCACGCGGCGGGATCTGAGTCGCGGATCTTGGTTACTGTTGCGCCAGCTGTCCACCGCCCTTTGAATGAGCCCTCTTTTGCCTCTAAGGGGCGGGTTCAACTGGGCCAACGCCCAACCGACGGTGTTGCACTCGGTCTCGTACTGCAGACGGTTGCCACGGTACTGCTCCTTGGGGCAGCACGCGCGAGGATAAACGCAGTTCTCGGTCTTGAACTCGGGAGACAGCTCATCCTGATTAACCGATTCCACGTCGCAACGGATTGTGTATTCCATCTTGACCCTGTCGCGAGAGTACTCGAAAGCAATCCACTGAACACCGTTTTGATCCTGTCTAACGACCAGTGGTGTTGTCGCGGGAATCGGACCGGGAGCCGCGTTAGGGTTCACGCCAGATGCCGATCCAGTGGGCGTCGTGCCATTCTGAGGAGTAGTCGACGGGGCGCCGCCAGCGAGCGGTACGGGGGCATTGTTTCTCTGCATCTGATGGTTCATGCCGTGCTGGGTCTCAATCTTGCCCTGGCGGGGGCTGACTGTTGCCATTCCTGCCTGAGCATTCAGTGTCGCCTGGTGGCTTGTCTGGTGCTGCGGCGCGGTGTGAGACATCATCATGCTGGGCTGAGAGGCTATGGACTGGTGAGACTGCTGGGCGTGTTGCGCATATGGCGAGGGCGCGGTTTGCGCCGGCATCGACGAGTACTGCGGGTGCTGAGGAGCGCCATAGTACATAGACTGCTGGTGTAGCTGCGAAGGGGCTTGTCCGTAGATACTCCTTTGCTGATCATGCCCCGAAGGCGACGCGACCGATGCTGGCGAGTTCGATTGAGGGGTATGATAAGAGGTCATAGGCGGGTAGGGAGGCCTTATCGACGTGGCCATCATGTCTCCGGTATCTGCGCGATCGCGTAAGCATCGTGAAAGAGATGAGGAGGGGCCAGGACTAGGACGGCGAAAAAACTTACCTGCGGATGTATATCCGCTTGTCGCGCCAGGGGTGCTGTAGGGACTGGGATGCGGGTAGTAAGGCAGATGATCCTGAGTGTTGTTGGCCTGAGGCGGCTGCTGATAGACAGAGTGGCCCGAGGAATAGGCACTCTGGTGTTGAGGCGGTTGCTGAGGTGCCGGGTTGTGATGCTGCTGGTGCACAATGCTCGAGGGTCTCGAGTGTTGTAGATGGGGAGGAACAGGACCCTGCTGCTGGTGATGGGGGTGATGCTGCATAGAGGAGACAACCATTAGATTTCAGAGTACAAGGTCATATGTTGAAAAAAACAACCATGTGTTCCGGAGCACGGTGAACGCGTCTTGGATATTTTTTTTTTCTTTGTGAGGACCAGAAGAACCTGCAAGGACTGGGGATGTTGGTGTTTTTCAGGGGCCCCGTCAGAAAAAAAAAGCGACGACGAGGATCAACGGGTGAGGCGGGCAGGCGGGCTAGCCTCGGGAATTTGGTGTGGGATTTGTAGTTAGGACAAGGCCCTCCTTCCATACGGCATGCGAACCGAACGCTTTCTGGCTGGAGAGAGAAGGGGGAGGGGGGGCGACTGGGACTGTCTGGGACCATCTCTGCGACCGTGACGGGGGCATTGGACTGGCACCGCAACTGGCAGCAAACTTGCAGCCCACAGCTCCCAGGATCAACGCGACCACGAGTGGAGCGACGAGGTATCGGAATCAACACCCGAAGTTTCGAGATTCCCACTGGGTTTCTCTCAGTCGCAGCGTCGTATTGCGCACACCCAGGAACACTACCCCGGGCTGACCGACGGACAGGAGTGCAGAAGCCAGAGTAAACACTAACCCTAACTGTTGTGACGGAGATCGGAAAAAGGAAAGGTGAGCGTGTTTGTCTGCTGGGGCGGGCAAGGGTGCGCCAAATGGTTTTGCTCTGCGAACTCACACCGCTGCCTGGCGATGTGAGAGGGAAATTGCGAAAAATGCTGGCGACTGTGGGGATCCAGGATGATGGATCAGGATCGATGTCGAGAAAAGGTAGGTGGGCCACGGCCTGAGGTGAAGACCGGAGCAAAAGGAATGAACGAGTACAGTTTGCGGGAAATGATGGACAGACACTGTCTAATTCTGCGCTTGTATAAAAAAAAAAAAAAAAAAACCGTGCAGACGGTGGGTGCATTGCAGGCCAAGAGAAGTGTCAGATGTACCGCAGCGTTTCGTCCGTTTTGTAACGGCGGCGTCTAGGATACAGCACCGTGTGTTTAGCAGGCCTTATTTCTGCTACTTCAATCCGCCACACTTGCAAGGCTAGGCTGGTGCTTGTCTCCGCGCGTCTGGTATACCCACACGAACGAAGCGTAAAAACCGCCCGAGAGACTTCCCCTTGCTGTCATTCTTCAGCAAACTAGGCCATTGACGGTCCCGAACTAGACACAAGCGCACCAGTCCATATTACCCACTGCCAGAGGCCGTCCGATGAGAAGAAGGAGACATCGGCAAGGTGTGTATGGATCATGGATGTGGTAAGACAGCGCATGGTCTGAAAACGTGAACAAGGGGCGAGTGCTGTTTAGATGAAGTGACCAATGATGGCGAGGATTACACGAGACTGCAGAGGCCGAGTAGCACCACTCTTTGCCCAACAAAGTATCGGTGACCAGAGCTAGCCACTCTCTGCCACTGAAGGCAAACCCCTAGCGGTCTTCTGGCAGTCCGACGATGTTGATGGTTTCGATGGATGCGACTTGACTCTGGGGCCCGTGTGGTGAACGAATTTGGTGACACTGGCGTCTTCTCACTGGAGTTCCTGACTGGAGTTCCTCACTGGAGGTCTCTGGCGTGTCCCTCGATGTTGCTTCCATCGTTTTTCGGTTGCATGGGCAAGGATGGGCGGTGTGCATGTGGGTCCCGTATCCCACGCGCGGATCCCTGCCCTGACTGGCCATTTGGAGAATCCATGCACCTTTCGATTCTCCCCCCCAGTCACCATCAGAAGGCCCTTGCCTGATAAATCGGCCTGGATGGCTTCGAGAACATTACTGTGTAGAAAGCCACTAGCTACAAAAGGAACGGCGGAATCGGTGTCGCCTCGGAGCGAAAGCCCATGTTTGGCAGCGAAATACCAATGTGAACCAAGCTCTCGACAACAGCCGCTCCATCTGCTCCCCCGCCGCACAGCATACAGAGCACGCTTGTGTTTGTAACCGCACGCGGTAAGAATACTCTTAACGATGCGCGGTAAATACCGACAGTGAATAGGGTACACGAGTCGCAACTCTGGCTCTTGGTGCCTCCATCGCGCTCAGTCGGTCGTCGTTACTCATCACGCCCCTGTCAGATTTTTCGGTGGACCTTTTGGGAAGGGGGGGGGGGGGGGGGGTGCCGACGAAAAGACCCAGACGTCGCGCGTCGACTCGTCAACGGTTGGCTAGCTTGCTCCTCTCCGGCCCCACCCTTCAGAGACTGTTTAGTGAGAAAGTTAGAGCGCCGGGACCACTCGGTCGCGTATCGCCTCTAGGCTCCACCGGCCAAGAACTCAACTGACTCTGAACAGACTCATTCATGGCCAAGCGCTATCGCTCGTGACAGTCGTTATGGCGAGACCGTCGCACGAGGCTTCTCGAGCGTGTATGAGAACTGACTAATACGTAGGCGTTTGAAGTGAATACGATGGGCGCAGGGGAGGCGGATCGCTGGACCTTCTTTTTCCTCAATTTGTGAAATGGTAGTGACCACGTGCCCTGCAAGAAAGCCAGTTTTGATATGATAGGCAGCCGCAATGTCGTCAGAGATGACACTTCCTAGGCAGTGAACAGCCATTGTGCGCTTGAGATTCCCAGCCACGACACTGTCGTTATAGGGGAAGCAACTGAAGACCTCGATCTCGAGCAAACTGCGATACCGCGTTTGCGACTCTGCACACTGGCCGGTACCCCCACCGGGAAAGCTGCACCACTCAGCTAGCAGCAAATCCGCTGTGAGCGCCCGGCAAATGTGCGTGGTGCAAAATCGCATGCGTTGCTTGGCGGGCAAGGCGCAGATAGGCGGACAGCCGACGAAAACCAGCAAAATGATCGCGAATTGCCCAAGGACATTTGCGTTATTTCTGCAGTTCTCCGATAGCGCCCAGCTCGGTGTCTATGGTTTGCGTACTGCTTCCACCATCGGCTCAGGACCTCCTGCGGTGCGACTCGCTAGCTTCTGTTCCACCGCCGTACGCGTCCAAATCACCTCTGCCAGGTGACGCTTTGTGATGGGAAGTTATGGGAGTGCAAAAGCCAAACGTGAGACCCGAACATGAGGCCTGAGATGCACGAGGGGGTTGATGATAGCGCACTGCGCGCCGACATCGACGCACAGCCCTTGTTGCATACTTCCCGACGCCCTGGCTGGGTGAAACAGGTCACCCCTGCAATTCCCAGAAGCCCTGCCCAGCAGTCGATGGCACCCGCACCTAGCAGGCTTTCGACAGGCACCCGATTTTTCTGGAACGTCTGTGATCCTGGGATACCTGACTTGGGCCAGGACCCTTGTCCAAATGCGGCAACTTTGCAACGGTGTAGGTAACAGGGAATAAAACAATAAGGGGTGTGTTGAAGTCAGACGTTGATGTTTCGATGTCGACGTCTATCACGACAATGGCGGTCCTTGCGCACATATCCGACATGATAATACTGCCCGTGTAGCACGAAGCCCCTACCACGGACACGTTGGGTGCAAAGACCACCGCAAAACAGCGTCACTAGACGCCCGACACTGGTCATGAAATACGACATCTTCCCAGACGCGCCACGTTGTAAGAGGCCTGGTGGATAGTGTAATGTTTGTAATGGGAAATGTGTGAAGACGAAACAGAGTGTGACTTACCGAATCGTGGCCGGGCTCTTCCTTATACTGGCCCGGGGCCTGACGATGAGCCATTGACAATCCCATGGATAATTATTACCCTTTGCGTAAAGGGCAACGGTGAATGTGTCTATAAAGGAAAACAGTTAGTAAGGGGCAGAACAAACATATGGCCCTACCGGTCTTCGGAAGCCATCCTGGACGCTGTGCTCTCCGTAGACAGATGTATATCCTTGCCAACGGATGTGTAGAGGCGGGAACGTTGAGCGACCGGCCTGGTGACAGCTGGACCATGTGCGGTAGTGGATTCACTGAGTACTCACAATGCTTTGTTTTGCCTTCGGTAGCTGAAGGGATCTTGATGGTAGATGCTAGGAGGACGCGACGGCGAACGGATACCTCCAAGGTAATGTGAGGCAGCCTGGGCAGTTCTCTAGTTGTTTGCCGTGAACCTAGCTCAGCGGGATGCACGGATGGTAATACTTGTTAACTAGGAGACAGGAGACGGATCTTACACTGGCGTGAAGATTAGCAAAGCTGGGGAAAGGAAGACGTTAGCAAACAGTCTGTTGAATGTGCTTTGAAGAGCGGGTTTCTCGACTATTAAAAATAGTAATGAAGTGGCAGCGGCCTTGGAAATCAGACCGAAATTTCTAAGCTCAATGCATTGTCCGAGGGCGGCACTAGACTGGAACGTTGCCGAAATTGAAACGGCTTTGCCCAACTTGGATTGCGCAGCCCCTTGCAAGAAAACGGTACGGCAATCTAGGGACCACCGCAAAGCCGGTGGAGAAGCTTGGAGAAAAAAAAGAGACACACACACACACACACACACACACACACACACACACACACACCAATGTCGTAAATCGAGTTTTTCTTTCCGATTTTTGGGTTGAAGAAACACAAACGCTCGAAGTAAATGCTCTGTGACCATTCAGGTCAGTGTCTGTTTTGCTTCGATTTGGTCGAGAGTACAGTAGTACAGTAGTCAATTCATGCTGCGACTTGGGAAACCAATTCAGGGGCAATCTGCCAGGGACAGTGTGGTGGACAGCCCCTGCTGCAGCCACGTGCGAGGGCAGAAGAGTTATCATGCAGGTGGAACTGAAGCTTCAACTTTGTTACATACATGTACGTTCGTACCTTACCTTTCAACGAAACTTTGGAGGCAGCCGGGGTCTGTAGTCGGCTGTGACGCGCTGCACACGCTTATGTTAGTGTCTGCAGATACGTCACCTCTCGATGTCAACGCCGGAAGCGCTTTGTGTTAGATTGCAGAGAATTGGAGCTGTGTCGGCTCCTTGGCCGAGTATCAAATTGGTCGGGGCCGCTGTGGGTTTGAATGACCTTCACTAAATCGGAGCGTGGAATCCCTGACCCTGGATGAAATGTTAGATAAGTTCAGTGATGTGCTTAGCTTTCTATATGCGGTGCACTGTTCGAAATCGAAGTATTTGGACCTCCGCAATTGAGGGGATCGAATGGGGATTCGACGGAGACCGTAGGTTTGAAGGGACAGGTGTCAATAGCTGATAGCTTGTACTAGCATGTACCTGGATGAATGTCGAAAAAGATGACATACCAGTTCCCAGGTAAAAAGCCCGGGGCAAAAATCGGATGGAGAGGTCGTCTCAAGTGGATATTGTGGTATGGTGCGAAGTGGTGCGTCCAATTCGGGGCGGACCGCGATCAATGGTGATGTTGTACTATGTATGAAGCTGATATTGTATGAATGGTTTGTAGACCTGTCACCGCGGGTACCAGGTTGCCGTCGAAAGCACGTTCGGATGGAGGTCGTTCGTGGGCGGAGCAAGGATGATCGCGGAGGCGGCAGGGCTGGTAGCTCTGTGAGTTACACGGCAGTTAGAAATCAGTATGATGAACAAGACGTGTTGATAAGCACCACTAGGACCCCCGTGAACCCAAAGTTATGCTCTAAGGTATAAGAAGATATCACGAATATCTCTACATGAAAGAGCAAGGTATGGGATGGGAGTTACCCAGATGTAGACAGCGAGGTTGTAGCCAAGCTGGGTACCTGGTGTTGGGTCTTCAAGGGCTATCGACGGGGAGCTTGCGGAACGGCATGGCAGGCGGGTCGGGATTAGGGTAGGGGACAAGCATCATGCCGCCGAGCCTGGAGAAACGCCACGGGAAAGTTGTCTATAAGCACAGCCAGGTTCCAGATCGTGCCTGGATGACAAGTGAAGGCAGGAGTGCGCAATTGAAGCGTGGGGATGGTGGGATAGTGTCAAAAGCGCCCAGGCGCATATAGGGTTTGGATAAGAAACAACAGGCGGTACCCGACACAGCCAGCAAGAGGTACAGCAGCGGGGATAAGCCATCGCAAGTTTGCCGCAACTGACATCACGTACCTGAAGACTGTTCCTGAAAATACCAGTTGAAGCTAGAAAGTCAAGCGATCGCTGGTGCGGAGCAGAAGCACTACGTTGGCTAATGTATCTCCTTTGACTTTGACTAGCGGGAGTCTGGAAGTCTGAAAGCTTGGAAAGCTGTTTGAAGAAGACGGAAGGGCTAGGGGGGATGCGGTGGTTCAATAGAATGGATGCGCGCACAATCTCGATGGTCATGGACGTAGAGCTGAGTCTTTTTTTTTTTTTTTTTTTTTGTCGAGCTCTGCAGCTTAGATTTGGTGCGAGGAAGAATACGTCTGTGACAAAAAGATGAAGCTCGAGGTACGTGTTGAGAGAAGACGGACGGACCGAGGAATCAACAAATGGGCTTCCTCAGATATCGCCGGCCAGTCCCAACTGCGCCAGTAATCCAAATTTGCAAGGGGCACCCGCACCTGCAGCCTAGCGCTCCTTCCCTCAGGGGTGTGTGTCTGTGGGGAAGTAAAGACACGCTGCTAGACGCGAACACGTGAATGGGGTGACAATCGATGTCCTCAGATGGAAGCCTTTCATCGCTTCGGGACTGAACGTCGTTTGACAAGTAGTGTAAAGACAGGTACGCGCACGTTTGGATAGAAGCAATGAGCCCGTACGTCGGGCAGATTGCTCCGAGAAAACACGCGATGCTGTGTCCACCTGAGACGGATGAAAGCTCAAATACCGAACCGATAGGAGGTACGTAGGCCGAGAGTGACACTCGCCGAGAGCAAAGTTATCATAGTAGCAGCGCTCCAGATTTTGTATTTATTGGACATGAGGGCACGGGTGAAAGAACCTATGTGGTTGCCTTCACAAGAGCAGGGGTACAAAGCCCGTGATCGTCGGACAAACCTGCACAGCGACTTTTTTCGATGGTATAGAGCAACACAAAAACCGAAATGAAACCAATCCACGTCAAACATTTTAGCAACAAGTTCTGATAAGCACGCGCGCGCAATGAGACAGGAACACTGTCACTAACAGCTCGAAGGGACTACTTAGTTCTAGATGCAAACGGGATCCTCTGCAATGTTGCGTCTAAGCAGGGCGAATGCTGACAAGGATGCATTGGATAGTGATATTGTAGAAGCCGAGCCTGACTATAATCATGGCCGGTATTTTCCAACATCGCGTAATCTTGTACACTATACCTAGAAGGCGCTTTAAGTTCAGGATACTTTTGGGGGGAATTTCCAAAAGACAGGCTTCCGAGACACAGTCCGGGGGCAAGGATATACCTACCTGTTTGTGACCGTTGGGCGGCCTGCATTAGGCTTGAGAAAAGACAGCCAGTGGAGGAACACCGACCCGCACATAGGGACCCTGAGCTTCATGGTACAGCAACCCTACGATGGAAGCTTCTGAAGCTTCTTCGAAGCCTGGGGTGAGTACCCTAAAGATGGTACTTGTCAGGGAATTGTTGCGGCAAGGCGAATGTTGACTGGCTCGCAAGGGAACACCCCCCGTGCCCGTACGGACCATGCATGAATCCGGCGCTCTTTACCCTGGTTCTCGAGACGTCCGGGAAAAGGTGTGATGGAAGAAAGGGGTGAAGCAGGACAAATTACATTGAAGAGAGGTGCCGGCAAGCTGTTGTCTGCCAGGCACTCCAGCAGGGTGGTTGGACAGACAGACAACTGGGATTGAGCATGGTTTCAAGAAAGCAGCCAAAGCAGCGGGTGACAGGGCAACCGTTCAAGCGAACGCATGGAGACAAGACATGGAGGATACCCATGAAAGTCATCCATGGACGCCAGCGTGGGACTGGGATGGGGGATGGATGATGGGAAAGGCGTGTTTGAATCCCAGCTTCCCCCGTGAACCCTGCTCTGGCATCTCCGTCTGGAACACAACGAGGCATGCCAAGGCGAACCCAATGAAAAAAAAAAAAAAGAAAAAAAAATAAATAAAAAGAAAAGAAAAGATAAAGCAAAAAAGGTCGAAGAAACTCGAAATGATGCGTTTCGTTCCTTGAACTGTTAATGTGATTGACAACGAATTATTAGATGGTATTTTGGAGGAAACATCTGGTTCTGTAAGGGTCCAAGAGGAAAGATTCCCAATTTGACTGTACGGCTGTATCTTTCAGTAGCGTTCTCGATCCTAGGTATATAAGGACATACCATGTTCCGTACGTCGTCCGTTTTGCTGCCACTTACACAGTAAGCTCCGATGGTCTGCCGGCGGAGGAGTGAATTAGCTTCCACTTTGGATTTTATGTTAATACCCCCATCTCCCATCTAGGCCTTCTGATGGTAATGGCGGTCAAGAAACATAGCTACATGTTGCTCGCCCGTTGTCCTATCGCTTGAGTTGATTTGCTTTGCATAGGACGGATGACCCGTCGTTCGACTGCTATTTGTCGCCAGTGTTACGTGCCGAGGGAGGAGTGGAAGAGCTCTGCACTTGTGGTTTTACTATGCCACACGGGGTAATTTCTTGGTGTCTTCAGTGGTCGTTCGGATGCAACGTGATGCGTCCTTGGTGCCGGGGCTGGTAGCAACGCATCCGTCACCGCTCATATTCGGCAAGTGCAGTTGAGGTGTCGGTTCAATTTCCTACGTTATGAGACGTGCGTAGCAGGTACGTATCTCCTCCGTTTAGGCACACAGTCATCTTTGGGCCAATTGGTGATCAAGCACCCAGCGTCTGACACCGTACGTGATGGATTTGTCATTGAGACGACAAGTCCAGACCAATTGGATGTAGTCGACACATTTCCCCATACGATCACATGCTCTACCGTCGGAGTATTGCACAAGCTGGCATTGCACGACTCATAAGGTCCGAAGAATACGAGAATGAGCGCGTAGTGTACACCCATACACTAGCGGTACTTAGGTCCTGGCGTCGTCGGCAAAAAAAAAGTAAAAAAGATTGAGACTGGGCAACAAGTCTTGAGAATTGATACAAACAACAGATGACAGAAACCTCGGTAGGCGCTGGGAAAGTCTCAGAGAGCCTATACGTGCATGAAGCGCATAGTTTCGGTAAGATACGTGATAAACATTGTTCCGGTACGCTCAGCTGTCGGCTACCTATGTGGATCCGTACATTACAGTGCTTGGCATGCCGTTCAACATACACTAGTAGGTCGCACTAGAGGTGTTCTACAGTACTTGCCGGCAA